CCCTTTGGAAGTACAGTGTTTCGCCGGTTCAGCCGTTGCCCTAGCTGCGGAACGGTGCCGGTGTTTGCGCCGCCAGAGGTCTCATTTTTGTTTTCGAGCCGCGGCGGTACGGCAGAGTTGTCATCATATACATATATCTTATTACATCACTTTATTCATCGGCCGAATCCCTTTCAAGTGGATGGGATAAGGCTGCCTGAACAGTCGAAACACTCACCGTACTGTAGGTTTCCAGCCGCCTCCAGGTATTTTGGCTCCGGGACTTGTGCACGATATCCTAAGAGCTTGGTATAGGCAGTTGCCAAGTCCAAGAGGACTTCTCAAATCAGCATCATACATGCACATTGATCGTGATATCGCCAGCACATCAACGTCCCTTTTCAAACGCCCACTTGGCGGCAAGCAAAACGCGGATGGCCCAATCCTTCACTGCTGAAGCACACCCTCCAGAGTATATACCCTACCTACGGCATCGTGTCGATCACCAGGCTGAGGATACGACCCTGCCGACCTTGGACCTCGACCAGATCATCCAGATGCGGGAACAGGGCTCGCAGGGAGATTCACACATCACCCGTCATGCCCTTTCTCCCCGATGATCACCGTTGCACCCGGCTTCTTTGTTCGGTTGATCTGCTCGGTGGCTTCTTGGTTCACTTGCACTATCAATCGCCCATGTTCTTGCCTAGTCAGTTCTCTTACAGTATTCAGCTCCATCATCTCCCGGAACTCCCAGTCTCGCCTCCGCAGCCAAGAGATACCAGTCGAAATGAAACCCGCATGTTCCACTATCCACGTTCTGATTCACTATTGTCAGTCATTCTCAAAACTCTCCAGTGACATGGCAAGAATGGTTCAAAGAGACGCGGTTCGTCTTGGCAGCCAGCCACAAGAGACGAGACGTCACGCTTTCGTCCAGATATCGGCTTTGCCTTCCAGCACAAGCAAAGTCTGACTTCGCCCCCCTTTTGTCATGTAAGCTGCAGGACTGAGATGGCCTATGTACGCAGCCTTTCTACTATCCTCTCTCTCCTCTCTCTCACTCTGTGTGTGCGCGAGTTGCGCTTGGCGCAGCCAATGTAGGTATTTCCAACAAGAAACATACCATTCAGGGGTGAGACCTCCTCAAGCAGTCAGCCTCCCCGAACCGATATCCGAATTGCACAAGCGCTACCCGCGAATCATCCGCTGAAACCTGTCTCCGGGAGTGCTAACGGTTTATCCCATTTAAACTACTGGCTCTGAGACATTTTCAGGAGCCCCAAGTGGGCAAAGGGCGACGCAGCATGAAATGACCCGCTGCGTACTTAAGGGCCTGCGTGTATGCAGGCGAGGAACATGGCGTTGTGCTACGGCTGTCGACCTGTCAGGGGTAGCCTAGGATTATCCAACTTGTCTTGAAAAGGGAAAAAAAAAAAAAAAAAAAAAAAAAAAAAAAAAAAAAGCAAAAGATGGCCCCAATCCTATGTGGCGTAGCTCGCATAAGCCAACAGTGCGTATCAAAATGAAGTCCAGGCTTCGCTCGGCATTCGAGGGACGCCTGTTCGTCTGTTTCCGGGGTCTTGGGATGTCTTAAATTCTTGGTCTTCTAAATTGTCCTGAGCATGACCACACTTTCCGGACCCTCTCGATCCCTCTCCAATGCCGTATGGCCGCCTCTCCTTCTCTTTCGCGATCTTAGTACTTCTCTTTCCATTTCCCTTTCTTTGTTACACACGCTCTTGGAAGTTTGCCAAGTGGTGTGCTCATTGCCCAGTCACTTTCTACTGCTTTTGCGTCAGAGAACGGACAGGCGTGAGCTTTGATTATATCCCATGCTCGGCATTTTATCAGCTAGTACCCCTACCGGACACTCTCCCACACCCCCCAACCGTGTTCTCACCCCTCCCTTCCCCGTTCGCTTTCGTCTTTTGTAGTTCCTTTCAGGTTTAGTGCACGGCAGACTCCATGACCCTTGGCCCCGGTTCTGTTTGTCTTACACAGTATAGTCGATCCCCATGTATCGCTTCCCGCTTTACTCTTGCCGAGGGATTCGACAAAATTTTCTATAACACATCCCGCACACCATACACACGCCTCGAGCTCCCTCCTGGGTACTCTTCTTTCCTTCTAACTCGTTGTTGTCTTTCTTGCGTGTGTGATATACGAACCCTTCGGATGTTTAGAATCCGTTCCTGGTCCAACAGATAAACGTCAACATAGATATTTCGAAAGCCACGTAGACGACTTGCTACGGCTTTGGGTACGCGAAGTCTTCTCGATAGGAGGATCACCAACTCGGTTCGGGCTTTAACTGGGAAAGGAATCGAAGGAGGATGGTCAGCGCCTTACTCCCCTTTGAGGGGCCGGCGGATCTTTCGAGGATAGAGGCCCCGGTCACCTTGAAGGCTTACCTTATCTGCGCTTTTGCAGCATGTGGTGGACTATGTAAGTCTGAACCTCATGTGCTTGTTGCTCAAGGCCAGTACTAACTTTCATGGGCGACATTTCTAGTCTTTGGCTATGATACGGGTTGGATCAACGGCGTGCTAGGCATGCCTTACTTTATCACCCTTTACACGGGTTACTCGTACGACTACGACAGGAAACAGCCCATCAACATCGACCCCGTCAACTTTGGCTTACCCTCGTCGACCAAATCTCTCATGACCTCGATTCTCTCCTGCGGCACCTTCTTTGGCGCCCTCATCGCCGGTGACATTGCCGACTTCATCGGCCGTCGGCTGACCATCATCATCGGCTGTCTCATCTTCTGCGTTGGCTGCGTTCTCCAGATTGCCTCGACTAATCAGACGGTTCTGTTCGTGTTTGGTCGACTCATTGCGGGCTTGGGCGTAGGCTTCATCTCAACCGTCATTATATTGTACATGTCCGAGATCGCCCCCAGAAAGGTTCGTGGCGCGCTGGTGTCGGCGTACCAGTTCTGCATCACCGTGGGAATTCTACTCGCCAATTGCGTTGTGTATGCCACGCAGGATAGAAACGATACAGGCTCGTATAGGATTCCGATTGGTGTGCAGTTTTTGTGGGCATTGATTTTGGGAACCGGCTTGTTCATTTTGCGTAAGTTGCGCGGTGCTTTGGAATTTTGTCTTGAAGCTCGATGTACTGACACTCTCCCCCCCTTTTTTTTTCTCCTCTAGCCGAGTCACCCCGTTACCATGTTATGAAGGGTCAGCTTCAATCAGCCGCCAAGTCTCTGGCTTATGTTCGTGGACAGCCGATTGAGTCGGAGTACATCAAGGACGAGCTGGCTGAGATTGTGGCAAACCATGAGTATGAGATGCAGGTCGTTCCGCAAACGTCGTATATCGGATCGTGGGTCGCTTGTTTCCACGGCTCGCTGCGCAAGGGTAATAGCAATATCCGTCGTATCATTTTGGGTTGTGGATTGCAAATGTGGCAGCAACTCACTGGTAAGTTTTCTTTCGGTTTCTCTATAAACCCTTCTCTTTGGTCTCTAGGGATCATAGGGGATATATAACTTCTAAATGTCATGTTGACACAAAACTAACCCTTCGTTTCATCCTAGGAATCAACTTCATCTTCTATTTCGGCACCACCTTCTTCCAACAACTCGGCACCATCTCCAACCCCTTCTTCATCTCCCTCATCACCACCCTCGTCAACGTGCTCTCCACCCCCATCTCCTTCGTCGCCGTCGAGTACCTCGGCCGCCGCTTCCTGCTCATTTACGGCGCCATGGGCATGATAATCATGCAATACATCGTCGCCATAGTCGGCGTCACGGCCGGGCGCATCGACGCCAACGACCCCGCCGCCGTCCGCGGCATGATCGCCTGCATTTGCATCAACATTTTCTTCTTCGCCACCACATGGGGCCCCACGGGGTGGGTCGTCATCGGCGAGTGTTTCCCTTTACCGATCCGCTCGCGCGGCGTGGGCATTTCTACGGCCTGTAACTGGTTCTGGAACTGTATCATCGCCGTCGTGGCTCCCTACATGGTCGGTAACTCAAAGGGTTCAGCAAACTTGGGCCCCAAGATCTTCTTCATCTGGGGAAGCCTGTGTATCTTTTCGATGCTGTTTGCGTATTTCTTGGTCCCCGAAATGAAGGGACTCACGCTGGAGCAGATCGATAATATGATGGAGGAGGTCAGTCCGAGGAAGAGTAAGAAGTGGATGCCCAAGACCACGTATGTGGCAGAGCTGGCGAGGAGAGACGCCGAGAAGAGTAGGCAGCAGTGGAGGGATGTTCATGCCGCGACGAATACGACGGGAGGATTGGAGAGTGGTATGATGGGGGGCGGGTACCAAGAGGCGAACGAGATGGGAGCTATTGATCCCTATGGACATGGTACTACACATGGTGTTCATGGGGGCAGTGGGGGATATGGAAATAGTATGGGAAGGGATCCATATGAAAGTCCGAATACCGTCAGGTATTGATGGGACCTTCTTTCTTTGATTTTTTTCTTGCTTTCCCTTTGTTCACCGCGGTCCGTTTGTTTATATGGGATATCCACTCTCTTTTGTTGATGGGATTGTCGATCGGGATCAAGACGAGTTTGGGAATAGGAGAGGAGATCATTATAAGGGGGATGTCCTTCAATGAGGTTGACGGAGTTTACGTTTAATGAAGCAGTGTTAGTTCGAGATACCAACTTCTAAGATTCTACCCCTTGAAATTCCTCATCTCTGCTGATAACTGTAGCATGCCATGTGGCTAATGATGACTGCACCCGTAGTGAGCACACAGAATGCAACCTTTCCCGTGAAAGTCCCCTTATAGGGAACTTCCCAACAGTCGTTTTAATGCTTGGCATGAAAGGCGCATGCGTATAAAGTGGACGGCTTGTCCATTCTCCAACATTGTCACCAATTTTCCCTGGACCACGATCCCACATAACCGCGCTCTTGATTTGCGGTGCAACTCTACGGTCCGCGGTACCCCTTCTTTTTCTTCTTGTTACAACGGGCTCCCCAGAATAAAGGGAGCCCTTTCTTCACCTATCCATACGCAACGCTCATAGACCACCATGTCGCTAATCACCCTCCCACCCGAACTCCGCCACAAAATCCTAGCCTCTGTGATTTGGACACCAACAGCAACACTCTATAACCACCTCGACCTATTTTGCCAAGATCCTCCTCGTGTCCGGGTCCGCGATGACTGGGACATTTGGATACCAGCCACATCACCTCAACCACCCGCTCTACCACTCCTCTTAACATGCCGGATCCTACGCGATGACGTCCAGTATCTACTACATTCACCTACTGCTGCCCAAAAATCCCACCCCTATGAGATAGACATCGTCTTCATCCCCAAATGCGGCATTTTCCCAACCTGGGTGTGTTGTCCACTCCCAGCCAGTTCAACCTCGACACTCTCCAGGCATCATTCCGCATAATGGACGTAGAGGACATCGACGATGAGGTCGAAACAGCAGGAAGACAGGGGGAGTTCTTGCGCCGTTACCACGGTATATCATCCGACTTTAATGCAAACGACAAGTACTACCCCAATCCTCCTCCCGGCTCATGGAACTTTTATCGCCTATTAGTATCCTTTTTGGCCTTGGGACCTCGGGGCCTTTGCTCTCCCGCTTATCAAAGAAAAAATCGCGGCAGTCTTCTTTCTTCAAGAAGCAGAAGCCCTCCCAGACACTCACTCCGACATCTCATAATCAGCGTAACATCCAAGGAGGAAACGGATGTGGACGAGGAAAGATGGGAACGAGCAGACCGTGATGCACAACGGTTCTTGATTGCCCACAACGAGGACCTCCCTTACGGAGCCGAGGGGGAAGAGGAGATTTTCCCAGGACCGCCGCCTAACGACGACGACGACGACGACGACGATTTTTCTCAATACACATGGACAGGCCCGACCGACCTACGAGCCGTTAGAGGCATGCATATCCACGCGGGCCGTGACACCCTTGGTCACGCCGACCGCTATGGCTTGTACCTTGCTAATGCGCTCTGGGCCTTACTTGACTTTGGCGGGTGGCTGTCGCGAGGTTTCGGTCTGATGCTGTATGAGAGCATCCTTGATGACATTACTTTTTATGTTGACGGGGAGCCAAGACCTCGGTTTGGCATGGGCGACTTGTTGCTTTCTTTTCTGGAACGGCCCGAACCCCCAACACCGTCCCGCACTTTGACTCCGGAGGTCGCAGCGGCCTTGAAAGTCTGGAAGGAGTGGGTGGTGAAGTGGAGAACATGGAGGAAGCTACAGGAGGGTTGTTCTGGTAGTGGCGTGTTGGATGATACATGTATGGAACCCCGACCACACCCGAGTTTTGATGCTTTTGTGAGATACTTGCCGGCCTCGACGTGGGATTATGATCCGAATGAGCCTGGATACTCGGATTCAGACTCAGATTTCGTGTCCGAAGATGACGCCGACGAAAGTATTGTTCAGGAATAAACTCGGTTTTTTTCTTCTCAATTTGTTCATCTGCTTGAATTTATGCTTTTTCTTGCCTTTTTGTTGTTCTTTGGTCTTTCTCACGGACCATATTTTCATCCAATAGGAAGCTCAAGATCCCGGACAGTGTCCCAAGCTTAAGGGTGACTGACGTTAACAATCCCTTTGTCCTTGATAACCCTAACCCGATGTAGTACTTCCCAGGATGCAACAGAAGCTGGTGCTAGTTGGATGACATCCTCATTCGCATGCCATTTAAACAAGAACGTTCAAGATTAGAGTTTTGATTGGTATTGGCAACTAATCGTTGATTTCCCTAAACTTGCGATTTGAGCCATGTTTTTGATTTAGTAATCGGAATCTATGGTGGCTGAAATCTACTTCTGAACAAAACTGGAACCGTTGATAAGGGGCCAGGCCTTCCGGAGTGGGGACGAACTGGTTCGCAAATCATCAACTCGCCCTGAGCCGTTTGGAGACGATTTTCAAGATGACTCTTTCAAGTGACTCTTTACGCCAACACACACCTCACTTTCGCCCAGGGTTTTCATAAAAACCTGCGTGAAAGAATCAAGAACGAGAGCATTCGTTCTAGAATCCTGTTCTTTTCCGTTTATAGTTCATTCATCTATTCAACGATCACGAGCCAATCGCTCACAAAATGTCGCCCTTCAATCTCGAGACCTGCGCCAGGCCAAACATCCTCGCCTTGGAACCTTATCGCTGCGCGCGCGAGTGAGCTCACCCCCAAAACTTGTCTGTCTTTGACCTCTCATAAAGTGTATTGACTAACACACGTATCTCAGTGACTACAAGGACGATGGCACCAACATCCTCCTAGACGCCAACGAGAACGCCTATGGGCCTCCCGTTCCCCAAAACCTGGGTACCGGCTCCGGTTCCAGTGGTCCCGAGCTCGACCTCCTCGGCCTGCACCGCTACCCCGACCCTCACCAACGGGACCTCAAGCAGCTCCTCTGCTCGCTGCGCACGACCCACGCGCACACCTCCAAGCTTCTGACGCCCGAGAATCTCTGCGTAGGCGTCGGCTCCGATGAGGCCATCGACGCTCTCTTGCGGTGCTTCTGCGTTCCCGGCCGCGACCGCATCCTCGTCTGCCCGCCCACCTACGGCATGTACTCCGTTTCCGCTCAGGTAAACGACGTCGGACTCGTCAAGGTCCCGCTGCTCCCCGCTCCCTCCTTCGCCATCGACGTGCCGCGCGTCCTCGAGACGCTGTCGACCGAACCCAACATCAAGATCATCTACCTCTGCTCGCCGGGTAACCCCACGGGATCCCTTCTCGCCAAGGAAGACATCCAAAAGGTTCTCGAACACCCGACCTGGAACGGCGTCGTGGTCGTCGACGAGGCCTACATTGACTTTGCGCCCGAGTCCGCCTCGCTGGCCGAGTGGGTCAACGAGTGGCCCAACCTGGTTGTCATGCAGACTTTGTCCAAGGCGTTCGGCCTGGCTGGCATCCGTCTGGGAGCGGCCTTCACAAGCCCCCCTATCGCCAGGCTGCTGAACAGCCTCAAGGCTCCCTACAACATTTCTTCGCCGACCAGCGCGCTGGCCAGCTACGCGCTGGGACCGGACGGCCTGAAGGTGATGCGTGCGAACAAGGAGAGGCTGATCCAGCAGCGGGAGAGGCTGGTGGCGGAGCTGCCGCAGATTCCGGGCGTGGGCAAGTTGGCGGGCGGTGAGAGCAGCAACTTTTTGTTGTACGAGATGCTGGATAAGGAGGGAAAGCCGAGCAACGAGACGGCGCTGAAGGTGTATCAGAAGTTGGCCGAGACGAAGGGAGTGGTGGTCCGGTTCAGAGGCAAGGAGCACGGGTGCGAGGGGTGCTTGAGGATTACGGTGGGTACGGAAGAGGAGGTTACGAGGTGCTTAGGAGCGTTGAGGGAGGCGTTGAAGGAGGTTAGGGGGGAGTAAATGTGGTCATCAGGTGTCGAGCGACTTGTTCCTAGAGTAGAAGAATATTTAGACTAAACTTGAAAGTTCTTAAGCTCTTTTTATTCCCCATATTCGGTGCTCGCAAGTAACCAATTAGGGAAGGAGTAGGTTCAGGACAAAAGAACACGACACTGCAATATACTCTATTCTCACCCTGCTTTACCATACTCCGTTACGACCAGGACTGGAAGTATTGGAAAGTGCATTCACCTTGCTACCTATTTAACATGCTATACATACAAGTCAACACTACGCTCAGCTTTCGACCGAAAAAGTAAATATAATGAAAATGAACATCTAGGATCAGCTCAGCATATTGGACTTTGCGGCAAAAAATGCAAAAGGTTAGGTCGTACCCGGAATCGAACCGGGGTTGCCGGAATGTTCTGAAGAAATCAGAATCCGGAGTGATAACCGCTACACTATACAACCTTTGATGGTTTAAACGTACTCCACATTGCACCTATGAGCACTCTGTGTGCTGGTCAAACATGGTGCAAAGCGCTGTCAAACAATCAACGTTTCGCACTTTCAAGATATTGCACGAAAGTTCGGTATAAACAATATGACAAGTACGGAGTTTGCTTAGGTAAAGAGATAGACAATAACCCAATACTCCGGAAACCCAAGAAAATGAAATGTCGCGATTCCACCCTCGTTTGTGCTCGTTAAGTTCGCGGAAGTCATCATCCATCATCAGGTAGCACACCATCCCATCTTCACCCTTTTCTTCGCCGGTTTTACACATGCGTTCCTTGCCACGAGGGTATGATAAAATGAATACTAGAAAGAAACCACTCAATTCATCCACCAACTCATCCATTGCTAACGTCTATTTGTCTCCTCCACCAACTCGACTTGGCTCTTTGCTGGTCGCGAGCTGGCGACTAAACAACAACTTCTGGTTGAAGATGAGCCACCGCGCCATACCAACGGGGTATCATGATCATGGAATCCCGGACTTTGCCGGCCATGGAGTATTTAGGTAAAGTGTAAAACCGACCACAGCATAATTTTTGCCGTAGAAGGTTTAACCATTGAAGTTCGCCTAAATCAGCAGAGGCTGCTGCTCACCGCTCTTGACAGTGACGGGAACAACAGGCTCGGTCTTGATGTCGGCCTGGGGGGCGGGAGGGAAATCGGCGTCGCGGAGCTCGGACTTGTTGGCATGACCGTTGGTGTGCTCCTCACCGTGGAGAGAGGCAGGAGTAGCCTTGCTAACGAGCGTCTGGGCCTTGGCGGTATACTCGCCAACATACTGCTTGGTCAACTGGGTAGCCTTCTCGGTGTTCTGCTGAGCCACGGTCTTGAGCTGAGCAGTCTGGGCGCCGATGATCTCGCTAGCACGGTGAAGCTGGGCATCGATGAACTCCTTGTTGGTCTTGTAGACGAGGGGGCCGAGGAAGGCAAGAGTGGTGGCAATCAGGGCAAGACCCCAGTAGGGGACAATCTTGACGAGATAATAGGCGAAGAAAGCGGCGATGGCAACGAGGCCGGACACGTAGACATTTTCAGCGAAAAGAATACGCTGAGCCTCGATGACGAAGAAGTTGACGAGCTCATGAACATCGCCAATAGCGCTATCCAGAGTCTCCTTGGAAACAGTGTAATACTTGCGCGGGCGCAGCTGGGTAGCCAAGCCCTGGTTGAGAATGGTCTTGCCGGCAACTTCGGCAGTAACGGTAACACCGAGGACCATCCAAGTGAGCTTGAAACCCAAGCGGAGCATATCAAGGTACCTAACAGAGAAGATGGCAGCGACGATGCTCAGGTAAGCAATGGCAGAGGCACCTGATAACTGTTGTTAGCAAAAGGACTCTGTAAATCTCTGCGGATCCTTGACGTGAACGTACGAGGGTTGTTCCATGACAACAGCTCGGAAAAGAACGAGTGGTAGTGTGTCAAGGGCTGGCCAGTAGCCGCGGGGGTCGAGGGAGTGCGACGAGACGCAGAAAGGTTGGAGAGCTCGTCGACAGTCTTGGCGGACTGGTCGGCGACGTTCTGAGCGACGGGGCCTAGAACACAACGTCATCGTTAGCTTTTCTCCACCAGCCAGAAGCTTGAGAGCGGGAATACTGCTGGAAAAGAGATTGAACATACCCTTCGTCACGGCATCATATGCAGAAGCAGCGTCTATCGGGATGCAAGTCAGTTTCTGCATTGTGAGATGTCATGGCGAAAGGAGTCGCTGGTGTTGGTGGCATTGGAAGCTGTTGTGGAACACTGACGCAATCGTTAGCGGCCGGCCCTTATCGCTGGTTTGAAGGAGAGGGGAGAAGCTCGCACAAGCTGGAGCAGCGCACGTACCTTACTGTTTTTGAGGGCATCGAGGTTAGTCGAGCCGTTGGAGTAGTCGTCGGCCATTGTAAAGGTATTTAGATGTCCCTGCTATTGATAACGTGTGGTGCAAAGTTTGTTGCTTGTTTCTTGGTGGTTGTTGACCAGAGAAAAGATTCGCGGATGGAGGATGAAGCTGTCAAGTCAAGAGATTCTGTGACAACAACCGGGGAAGACAGTCAGAAACAAACCACTAGACTGAAAGGACAGGAAGCGGGCGGGTGAATTCAAACGAGCGCGGATCCGTACTCGTTTGGTTGTGTGTTGATGGGCGTTTGCGGTACGTAGTAGGATGGTGATGGATAGGGTAGAACTCACTGCTCGATAATTTGCTTTCGAGGTCGTGGTGTTTAGCCGGAATGGCGAGATGGAGATTTTCAAGAGGTTTGAGCTCTGAAGGATTGAGGGAAAGAAGAATGGAAAGTAGAAATTGACAGAGCGAGGAAGAGGATGTAGTCACCGGCGGACCGTACACTATAACCGGAACTTTGTCTTACGGCCCGCCCCAAAAAACAAGGTGACGACGGCAGGCGGGAACTCTGTAAGCGCAATCGTCCATCAAAAGCAACGGGAGACCTGCAAGCTGGACCCAGCAGCGGCACTGTTAGTGGGGCCGCTGACACCCAAAACACCAAAGCTGCAGGGTAGCCCCACCAAACAAAGATAGGGCAACGCGCAGGAAACGCAGGAAGAACCCCACCGTCGACGAGAGAAGCACACATCTTACAAGAGAAGGAGCGCAGGGCACGGGCCAAGGGCGCAGCACCTCCTCCAGACCGGATTCTATGAATGATCTCATCATGCCACAAAAACGGCAGGCCAAGTGTGTCACTGTTTGCCGTCACCCTATCAGACCTCCTGTTTTCCTGCCCACACTTTGTCTCGGCCATGTTGTGCTCCCAGGAGGGCCTGCACATCGTTCCGAAGTACCCTTTTATCCATTACCCAAGTGAAAAACAGGCTGGGGAGACGAGCTCGGAAGTCTCGAGAACAAAAGCTGTGAAAGCTCTTAGCACTAGTGTAAACAACAACAACAACAACAACTCGAACCCTCCTTGCGGATGACGTCTACACTACAATCGTCTCAAACATGGTGCAACAATTGCTGGTTGCTACACCCCTTCAAACCTCGAAACAGAGCCCCTAATACGACGTTCGCTACCAGCAGCCACAGCCAAAATGACCAGGTAGTAATAGCCTATATTGAGGTGTTTCCCCTTCTCTTCAAACGTACCGTCCAGCCTCTTTGCGAGTCTTCCTCCCCCAGCTTCTGCCTATGTACTACATACCTCCATACTATGGTACTGTACTATGCAGTAACATTGCAGCCCACATCCACATCGAGAGGCACGCGACAAGTCTCCCCGCCATCGATTGGTGTGGGTGGTGGTGGAGGTACCGCACAGCCTGGAACATGACAGACTCCAAGAATAGGCGTCATGAATGGCATGTGAAATTTTGGCACTAACACTAACAGAAAAATCCAATTGAGAAAGAACCCTGTCAATCCTGCCAAGAAGCCAGTAGAAGGACCATCCACGCCAATAACGTCACTTCTCGAGTGGACGACAACTGGGGGCACTGTGAGACAGGTTTTCCTACCTCTACACTACCTTCTTTCTTTGCATGTTGACGCATTTCATGGGTTCGGTTCTCGGTTGGAGCTAGTTTGTTATTCACACGGGCGGCTAGAGGCTGGGCAGTTTTCGTCTCTTTGATAGTGACGAGGTCAAAAGATCGTTGCGTCAGCGGAAAGTAAGAGGATGAAGATACTGATATCCAGACTCTAGTGTGGAGGGCGGAACAAGCCAGGATAGGCGCCTACCTAGCCATGCTCGCCAGGTGTCCAAACCTCGATGAGAAAGGCAAGATGAAAGGAGTGCAATTGACCAGCCTGCTTAGTTTCTTTTTGGAACCACCTGACTGGTCACTTCACCTTCTCGGTGTTTGGGATTGAGACACGACAGTCTAGCCGCCGCTCTAGACCAGTCGAGCGTCTAAGCAAGCAGCTCGGCTACATTCTTTCAACTTTTCCAGAAAGGGAAGTTCATCAACACATCTTTCCATGGAGTTTTCATCACCACCAAAAGTATACATGGTATGTATGAGCCACTCTAGCCGCTTTCCCGCGCTACCAAAAAAGACCCATCTCGCCGTTACCCAAAAACAAAAAAATAAATAAATAAATAAAAAATATTTAAAAATTTCAAACAAAAATTTAAAAAATTAATGAAAAAAAACCATCACCGACAGGCAGGCAAACACGCAAAGCAGATAGAGTCGTTAAAAACAACCGGTCAAGAGCCATCGCCGCACAAACCAGATCGCATACAAATTGCACTTATCTCATCTCATTGCTCCCTCCATCTTGCCCTCGTCAGTCTCACAGACGTCCCAGACCCCCCACCCCAACCCTTCTCCCCTCACTGACAGCCATGCAGGGACGGCTGCTGGCCAGTGTGATTTGGCGAATTCAGAGAGCGAGTCGGTGAAGGGCATCTCATTTACCAGCTATATTTTCCCTAACTACATACGGTACCTTACGACCTTTTCCTGATTAGTATGGGAACCGACCGATTAGCGATCAAGCGAGATATGAACCCATTTTGTACCTAGGTACAACCGCATCATCCCATTCCCACTACCCTTGTCCGGAAACTTCCCGAGTAGCGAGAGGACTCAGAGGAAAGAAAGAACGGAAAGACAATGTGTAAATGGCGTCTGGTACAAGGCTCGTGACACGTCTTGAGCTTCACCCAGGACACTTTTATTGATTTGAGAAAATGAGTTTGAACTATATGAACATGTGAAAATGATAAAACCCAAAGTGTCCTCTCGGGACTCCGTCATGATGTAAAAGATGATGATAGGCTTTCCCGAAAGCCGGAACAGAGACAACAGAAGACTCTATGTATGTACCTTTTTAATGTTCAAACGATACGCACAATATGATAAGTGATGATGACATACCGTGATGAAGACCTGGACGCCGCCGCTTCTTTCCTTCCTCCACTCCAGTCCAAACTCTTTCTTGATCGAGTACTGTCTACACGTAGAAAAATATCACCTGGGCCTGTGTCAACCCCCGATCCGCCTTTGTTAGGCCTATTCCACCTGGTATGCATAAGATACAATCCTCCTTCTTCCAACCACGTCAAACAATGATCCTGTCACTTGTCTCTATCCCATGCATTTTATCCAGATGCTTCACTTTGGACCCCAATACTTCACTTCCTTCCCCAACCCCAAAAGCTAGCACCACTGGCAGTATTCCCAGCTGACGTCGCCGGCGGCGAGGTGACCACCTTCTGCAACCCGGGGCCGCCATCAGGCGTAGAAGGGCCAGTCAACCGCCCAAACATGCCAGCCATGCTATTATGTGCTGACTGCGAGTTCATCGACGGCATCTCACCTGGTGCCAGCCCAAATGCCTTGCGCATCCTTTCGAGCTGTTGCCTCGCCTCTTCGGCCTCCTGCTTGGCCATGGCCTCGGCCGTCTTGGCCTGCACGAGCTCGAGCAAGAGCGCATCGTTTTCGTTGGTCGGGGCCTGACCCGTGTTGGCGGGGCTTGCCGCTGCCAGAGAGACGGGCGCCGGAGCCGGAGGGGAGTTGGAGGTCATTGCCGAGATGGCGGTAGAATTGCTAGTGTTGCGTCTGTGGGTGGAGGCCAGCGTCGAGGTAGTCATCATGCTGGAGGATCGCTTGGTAGGATACACGGGAGGTGGCGCAGGCGAGGACTTGCTGCGCACGAGCTTCAACTCGCGCAGACCGCTGCCGGACACGCTGCTGCCGCCCACCGATGAGCGCCCAAACCAGTCGCCTCCTTCCGAGGAAGGCGTGGTGTCTGAGGCTCTAACCCGCATGCCGTGGATTTGGCGCTCAAGGCGCTGCTTTTCCGCATGCATGTTGCGCACATGGGCGTGGGTTTCCCTCAGTTGTTCTTTCATGGTAGCCATCTCTTGCTCCATGTCGTGTATCCTGCGGTTGCATTCCTGTGTCTTTGCTTGTTCGTTCGATAATTGCTCTCTTACTCGTACAAGGTCCTCGTGCAGCTGCTCCTTAGTTTGGGGTATTGCCGCCTTGTTGGGATCTTCTTCGCTGAATCGGTCGGCGACAAAGTCGAGCAGGTCGGACAGCTCCTCGGGGCTGAGGTCGATTTCGACATCTTTATTCGGGGCTTCGTCGTCTTCTTCGGCTTCTCTTGCTGCCGCCGCATACGACTGTGCAGGGTTCGCCTTCTTTCGTAGACCGTCGAGCAACGAGCGGACAGCCTGGCGATCTTCTTCGCGCTCCTCTCTTTCCTTCTGCAATTGGCTGGCCAGCAGGGCATGGTTCCGTTGTAGTTCGCTAAGGGCGGTGAGCAGGTCCTCGATCTGTGTGTGCAGGTGCTTTCGGTCGTCTTGGTAGAGGCTGGGGGTAACCGAGAAGTGCGCCTGTTTGGCTTTGGTGCTAGCGGCGCTGCTGCCAAGCGCCACCGAGTCCCTTGATGAATCGTGGTCGACGGTGGTGGAGCTGTCGCGCGACTGGACCGACGTCGCTTCGGTCGAAGCAGAGCTCAAGACACTGGCCGACGACGACGCTGATGATGACTGTGATGCAGCCTCCATGGAATTGAATGTAGAAGCTATACTCTGTTTCGATGTGCTGCGGCGGAGCATGCTGAGGGGACGTGACAGACCGGGGCTAAGGGTACTACCAGACGAAATGGTGGTGGGCGAAGACGAGGACGCGGTGGAGGACCCCTGAACTGCCGACGCGAAAGAGGCCAATTTCGGGGTTGATGAGGAAGCCCACAAGCGACCCAGAAAGCGGGAGGCTGCTGTTGCAACATCAGACCCTGGCGCATCTTCGCTCTTGGGATTGGCGCTTGGAGGAATCTTGGCTTCCCGGTACCCCTGCTCGAGCAATGCCATTCGTTCCCGGGTGACCACGTCCGACAATGCGACAAAGTCCTGGACGAACTCGTCCGCATTGTAGTGGTAACAATCCCACAAGCCGCGAGACAAAAGCAGCTGCATGACGTCCTCCATCTCCGTGCACGCCAGGATGCGGCCCTCATTCTTGCGCATCAGACTCAGCGCTACTCGCATAATCGTTTCCGAGGCCCCCTCCGCAAATATCACATCGTAGATGCGAAACAGCATGGGCAGGGGGCAGGTCACCGCGAAGAAGGACAGGAACCATTGTGAAACATAGGCCGGCTCGACGCCCAAGTCTTCGAGATGGTCCGCCACCACGGGCAGATGCTGCTTCAGCAGTTCGGTAAATTGGTAGATTCGGACGTGCAGTCCGGACAGGTCGGGCACAAAGCAATGGCGCAGATCGTAGTTCTCCATCAACCTAAATGCACGTGTTAGCTGATCGGCCACTCATTTCCGGAATCGGTCGACTTTTCGCTACCGCCAAAGACGATCCGATGTCCATCACAATCCCAACGGTGCAGCAACTCCGACTTACCTAACCAAAACGCAAAATGCATGTTTGTCCGGCATGTGCATCAACAAGGGTCCGACCAGAAACGCAAGTCCCTGACAGTACCCGATTTTCGTGTCGTACAGACTGAACGTCTTGAGCACACGACCAAGCATGCGCTGTCCGTCGCCCTCGGGATCCCTAAACATCTCCACGCCGGGGAAGCTTCGTCCGAGATCTTTGCCAATGATGCCCTCATATGGGCTTGACTCGCCAGATAACCGTTCGAACACGTCCTCGAGGTCCTTGTCACGAGCACCGCACATGCTCTGCCACACCACACCGCGCAGCGGCGGCGGGATACCCTTTCTGATCTTGTTGGAGAGCAGAGTGGGAAGCCTGGCTGCCGTCTGCTTCGGATCTTTGACCAGGGCCATGTAGAATTCGAGCTCAGTCATGGGCGGTGGTGGCAGGACCGAGTATCTGAGAGCAGGAGGGGTTGGTCCATTGACCATTTGTCGTAGCTGCGCCATGGATGGTGGTCTCGGTTTGCGGCCTGGCGAAGCGACCTTTTCCACGGCGGCAACCTTGACACTCTTGGGATTTGTCGCGATCTTGTTGTTTTCCTGCTCCAGTTTCGCTAGCAGCATCGCAGTCGACTGTGTCTGTGAGGGCGGCAGTGTCAGCACGGGTAAGCCACAAAAATAGGCTGGTGTCGCACTATTTCAGGAACGGGGAACGTCAGCAGCCATGGCTGCATGCATGCAACTTACATTATCTACATCTTGCTCTTTGACCTGCTCATCTTCTTTCTTTTGCAGATCGTCCCAATTCACATCCTCGGATTCAGCGCTTGAGCCCTCACTGCGTGCATCATCGTTGTCGTCTTCTGCTTCCTCATCGCCCTCTTGCACGCTCTCAAGCTCTTCCCGCAAGCTTGGGCTGTATGTCGACGCCAGCGTCTTTACTTCCTCATGACGATCCTCGTCGTTCTTTTCTTCCTTGATCGTTTCGGTCTCCGCATCATCGGTTGACGACGCGCAGGGTGAGTCTTCGAGGCCCCCGACATTGTTTCGTGGTGGGGAAACATTCGTGTCGATTTGGAGTGAAGACCTCGAAGACCCAGAGAGGCGGACGGAAACAAGGGAGTCGTGCTCCATGGTCCTTTGCTTGTCGGATTCTAGCTCGATCGGAGAGGAATTGGTCCCAGATGGACTTGATGATGGGAGCGGCGACTTTGACGTTTCTTCCTGATCATCGTATTTGCTGTCGTGCCTGCTGTCCCGTGTTTTGCGATCGAACTCCATGTTTTTGTGGTGGCCGTTTTGGTGTAATTTGGGGTCGAGATCGAGGGGCGGTGAAACTCGACAAGGCCGGAGGGTGGCACAATGCGGGTCGACAGGCAGGTCGTGCAAGCGCGCAGCGTTGACCACCACAGCTTTTTTTTTTAAAGCTAAAATGGGCCTCGACAGAAAGATAATTGTTGTTGTTGTTGGTATGTCAAGTCGGCAGGTCTTCTATGGTTTGGTTTAATTCTTGCTGTGAAAATTCCGGGCTGCTCGTTTATGGTTGTGGAACCAAATTGGCGTGTTGTTCGTCTGTCTTCGTCTCTGCAAGCGGGTTCCAAGTCCCGCTGCCACTCCAAAAGAGTAAAATCAAAATCCTGGCTGTGTACCGTGATGGCTCGGTTCGTTCGTCCGGTCGGGTTATTGAGTCGGTGAAGAGGGGGGTTCCCAGCTCAAGTCAAGGTACTTATTGTATGCAGATGGTACCGACTTGTGGCTCGGGTTTTGTTCACGTTCTCACTCTCCTTACAACTAACCGTGGGACAACAAGTGATCAGATTTTTCTTTCTCGCAGGAGTCGCTTTCCACTTCCAACGCTGACAGAAGGCAAAGAGAAAGCGGAAAGCTTCTGCCCAGATGATTCCGAATCGACGGCTCAACAAGGGAAAGAGGCAGACAAGGATGAGCGTCTCGCCAACGGCACGAAGGAAAGTGGATTTTGGTTTGGTGTGGATGTCCTCGTCTCGTTAGCCTGCCTTTTCAGAAGCCAGAACCGCCCGGGGCGAATGGGTGCAAATGTGGCTAGCTCTTGGCGCGCGACTGGCTGGTGCTTCGCTGTTATCGTTTCAGCGAACGGCCAAGAACGTTGGATGCTGAAACCGCGCGACTCGACCCGCCCGCAGCGTGATTAGTTGATTCCTTTCTCAAAGCGCTGGATGGATCTTGCAGAAAGTAAGTACAGAATGGAGGAAGCGGTTGTGCACAGGTTGGCGATTTTGTTGTTGTCCAGAAACGCGCACTTGCAGTTCCAAGACGGAACGAAGGAGGAGGACAATTGGCGGCACAAGTCACCAAAGAGAAACAGAATGATGTCGGATTCAGGGGCTCAAGCACCAGACAGTGTGCAAATGTCTGGGCCAAGTTGGAAGCACCCCTGATTTCATCCAATTCTCGCAGAATTACAGGGCATCCACCGAGACACTCGAACGCATCTGACTGAATGATTAAGCGTAAATACGTCTCATCACGGCACTGGCACGGCTACATACGCCAATGAAGCCCACATTCATTCACGGACAGAGAATCGCCGATTTCCCCCTCCAAGCCTCTCGCTGTCACCGAATCCACGTAGCCCGTTAGACCCGTGTGGTGGTGACACTTTTTTGACAACGGCCGACTGGAGAAGAAGAAGATCGGTCGGTCTTGTCCGATCATGGAAGTCGGGTCCTCAATGGGCGAGGGCCCGGGCCGGCGGGGTCTCACCCCCTGGTCCCACCGTCCCGTGCCTCGTCCCGGCCCCTGGTGTTCCTGGCTCGGCTGGCTGGCTTCCTTCACCGCATAGCTCCATAAATCACTTGTTAAATATCCTACCTCCCTACGACAATGCTATTATTGTCCCAAGTCGCTCACTCCATGATGTCTATTTGTGGGCCCCGATACATATCATTGAGAACATCAAACGGATAGTCTTCTTCCTCAGCTTCCCACATGTTTTTTGTTTGTTTGAATTTTGTTTTGTCCTCAACATCACCGTCCCCCTCGTCACCACCTCCTGGCAGTCACCAACCCCCTTTTTGACAAGCATCACCGGCATACCAAAAACACCCGGGACAGCAACCGTCAAATTTCCAACCAATCAATCGCACAATCTCCACATGGGTAGCATGCAAGTACCCAAGTCTGTGCAAGCGGTGCAAGTAGGACTGAATGATTGGACGAGAAATGGGAGAAGCTTCGGCCGCACAGAGCCAATCCCCACAATCACTGCACAAGCTTGCAGTGGGCGGTGGGACCGTTGCATCCAGGTCCTGCCCGGCAGAAAACAAGTGCTGCAACTGCGCCAGCACTGCTGCAGGGGACCAGGGACAGACTTTGACAGCCGCCACAGGTCGTGACCTCCTGCCTCATCGGTGGTGGTCCTAAAAGCGTGGTTTATCAGAACAGGTTGTTTCTTGGCGTTTCCATGGACGGGAATTCCATTCCATCGGCCTGGCAACGCATAAACAAAGATGCTGCAAGGTAACGTTAGTTTGATGAGAAGAATTAAAGCATACCACACCACCACATGATTGTGGACTATCTACATGACGGAAGTACATAAAATTCCTGGATCGATAAATCATCGCGGAATCACGGTCCGTATGAACAGAAGCAGCTTGATCTGCCCTAGAATCTACAAACACGTATTGTTGGCGTAGTGTATAGTTTTCGACCGGAAAATTCGTCTTTGCAGCTCTATTCAAGGTAACAATAAATGAGGGCATTCGGGTCCTCGTCGCGTCACGCCACGTGCGTCACTCTGCAATATACCGAGAGTTGATGTCTTTCTCCCAGCGGTTAGGGGAAATTAAGATAAGATGCCAATGTTCATATTTTGCAGCTTTGTCGAATATATATAGACGTCGGGTACGCTGGGGATGACCACAGTTTTGATCGTCGGAAATACACAAGGTATGTGTTAAATGGAACAGCCCAAGATTGATTGTGATGCGAATCTGTGTATGGATCTTAGGTTATGGTGCCCTTGATGCGGGTATGGTGTGGATGGATGTGCCTTACGACTATATAAGTTGTTGTCTACCTTGTGCATTTCAGTAGTCTTACACTTACCAGAAAGCCAAAGTAACGCAAAAACCCACCGTCTATTCCGCTATAGGGAAAGGTGACCATGAGTCACCAAGAAAACCGAAACTAGGCACGATCTCTAGCCATCAGAAGCACAACACATATATATGGCTTTTCTTTCTAACATGAAGAAGGTGTGAGACTCCGCGCCTCATTCTATTCCGGCTATCCCGTCACGTTAATCCAAACGTCCCACCTTTTCGTTTTTGTTCTCGTCTTCTTCTAGGACATACCCAAACATTCAGCCCTGCGATCTCCCAAAACTCCTAAAAGTCCACCGTTATACAAGCTCAATATGACGTGCCTCTGATTTTCCTCTCGTTCACTTTCATGGCAACTAACGGGGATGACTTCTAGCAAAGTTCTCATGGCGGTCCCGATGTGCCGGGCTGCGATTGCTGCGTATCTTGTTGGCTTTGTTGACCTTGAGGCTGCTGATGCTGTGTCGCCATCCCGGGAGGGATGGCGTTGGACATCTGCGGCGTCATCTGCGGCGTCTTCATGCCTTGTTGTAGCAGCTGTCCGCTTGGAGCCGGACTTCCGTGGTTCGACCCTACACCACCGCCAGCTAGCTGGCCATTCTGCTGCTGCTGTTGGATTTGCTGTTGGATTTGTAGCTGCTTTTGGTGCATCTGTTCACGGTATTGTTGCTGCTTCAGCATCATCATTTGCTGATAATTTAGTTGCTGCCCGGGCTGTTGTTGCTGTTGGCCAGGTTGCTGTTGCAAATTTTGCTGCTGTCCTTGCTGTTGCTGGCCTTGCTGGCCTTGCTGCTGCTGGTGCTGCTGCTGCTGCGATAGCTGATCAGGGTTACCTCCCGGCATTGACCCAGGTCCGGAAAGACCCGATGGTCCTGTTAAAGGGTTCGTGCCTGCCCTCCAGAGAGGCTCATTTTTATAATCAACGCCCGGATAGAGTGACTGGAGCTTCTTGTAGAGATCCGTCATGATTTCATGTCTTTCCGCGCGATCAGTGTTCGGGTCAGGTGGCGCATCACCCGCGCTGTCCTCAGCAGATGTGTTCTGTGCTACTCTTATCCTGAGATTCAAGTGTAAGGGTGGGGGTGTCAGATATGCCGGATACGGGTGTACGTTGGGTTGTTTGCCCGGCTGTGATAGCGAGCCCATAAATCCCATGTTGGTTCTGGCCCTGACCAAGCACCTATAACACGAGATTAGTCGTTCAGTTCGAAACTCCTGATCATTTCGTCGTGGTTGCCACTCACTGTTGATAATCCTGCTCTGTCAATTTCTCCTCCTCGGAGAGGCTCATACCACCATTCTGCTGCTGTTCACCCGATTCACCAGCCAACTCCTTTTCTCTCTTAATCTCTAGCCGGCTAATGTGGAGACAGGCTAGTTCGTACAGGAGCTCATGATTGATTTCCAATAAAACGGCGAACCTTTCCGTTTCACGCGATCTCGTAGCTGGACTTGGAGGAGCTGAGTGTATCGGCGTCCCATTGACCTGACCTTGTCCTCCGGTAGAAGGGAACGTCGGTGTTTGAGGTGTGCCTCCGGCCGAGCCACTTTGAGGCTGGGTGGTAGTTGGTGTGTGATTTGCAGAGCCTCCTTGACCTTGGGCCGTGGAATAAGTACCTGGCTGCTGGGAGGGCATCGCGTTGTTTGGGGTGCCCTGAGAGGCAGGGTTGGAGGAGCGCTGGGGTGTTGATGCGGACATGTTGGCAGCATTCTGCTGAGAGGGATGTATGCGTTGCATCATTGGCTGTTGCTGGGACAAGGCAGCATTCATTGGATAATGGGGCATAGAAGCAGACATCATATAGTTAGCTGGAAGGTGCGGCTGAGGTGCCACAGGTGATGGCACGGCTGCCACATACGGCGCGCTTGTGTAAGGCGCTTGGAACGCCACTGTTGATCCGCAAACTCGGTCAGCCTTTTCATGTCCAAAATATACGGACAGCTACGTAGCTAAGATGGGTAGTGGTAGGTACTCGACTGATAATCAATGGGGAAAGGGTCCAAGGGGGACGAATCGGAGAAAGGCATCGAGGGACGCAGGACGAACTTGAACAGCTGGGATGAAGCGCGGCAGGACCCGTGAGACGCCGGGTGGGCAGTAAGACGCAAACTTGCCGGCACGTGAAACAAAGAAAAGGTACAATCCAATACAGTGAGAAACAAGACCGGGGCAACAAACTCTAACAGTAGCTGCGGAAGGCCCAAAGGAGGAGGGGAGTGTGGGACGATGATACATAGGCATGAGGTCCAGGAGGCCAGGCAGGCAGGGTCAAGGGGTGGGTGGAAAGATAAACAAGGCGCGCGAGGGAAAGGTTAAAGCTTACTCTGACCATTGGTGGTAGCCATGGTGTGCGGCATGGCGGAATTCTGCATCATTCCTGCAGGACCAGCACCTGTTCCCATCATTCCTGGGCTCGGAGCAGCAGCAGCTGGGAAGTGACTGCTGCCGGCTTGGGAGCCCATGTGGAACTGCTGCTGCTGCTGCGGTTGCTGCTGGCCTGGGTGGTGTTGCTGCCCGGGCTGCTGCTGCTGGCTGTTATACACCATCTGCTGGTGATGCTGCTGCTGGCTCGGGGACGGCCCGCGACTGGGACTGGGCTGCAAGTGAGGTGCCTGAGGAGCTGAATTACCAGCTCCCGCACCAGCGGCGGGATTGGGGTTGTAGCCGTATTGGGGCTGGTACATGGCTTGTGATGTATCGTTGACGGATCAACTGGAGCGCCAAGGGAGCGACGACGCGATGGACGGACAACAGAAACGTCGTGCGTGCTGAGGTGGGCGTGGATCACCTCGATCAGGGATGTCTTGCGGCTGCCAATGGAGATGTGGGGAAGGGGTAAGGCCATCAATCGACAACCTGAACCCAAGCCTAACGCAGCACCTGTTGCAAAGGAACCAGGTAATGCCCGTACAGTGCTTTAGATGCCTGTAGGTTGTAGGTACCTGCTTCCACTTGCCAGGCACGTTTGAGGATGGGATGGAACCCGGGCTTCCGTTTGAAGCCGCCAAGGATGTGTCGGATTGCTTCAAACCAGTCTCGACCTGGGATGAAACCCTAATGATGGCCGATATTGGTGGTTCCTGTTTTCGAGTCGCCTCAGCAGGTCTCACCCACCACACACCACGCACACTCTTGTCTACCACCGCAGCACGTCTTATACGTGTGAGAGTGAGGGTAACCTTGGATATTGTGTCCTGGGGAGGTATACAGGTGCACCTGACTGTCAGACGCCCAAGCGGTATGCTGCTCTTTGATAGAAGGTGGAGGTCAGGAAGGAAGTTGGGATGTACAAGGAGGGTACCTGTAGTACCAGCCCTAAGAGGTACAATAAGGGGAGGGGTGTAGGTAGAAACAGAACTATCCGGGGCAACGTCTGGAAAGTCGTCGGTCTTTGATGGATCTTGGGTCCAGACAGGTGGCACCCGGCAACGAGAGGGATGCAGTACAGGGTAGAGTTTAGTACCGGGAACTGGGAGTGCAGACAGCCAACAAAGTGATAAGACTGAGATGGACACAACTTTCCCAACAGCAGCAGGGGGGATGCCGATAACGAGCCCGAAGTATGTATGAAGTAGATAAGACAGAATGACGCAGGGTCTGTCTCGCAACCCATCCAGCCCTACCTAACCTAGGGACGGGATGGATGAGGGGGTTAGAGTGATGGGGTAAGATGAAGGGCAGTCCTGGAAAGCTGGGCCTGAGGGGGGGGCACCGACCGGAACCCTGGGCCGAGGTGAGGGCCACAGTCTGAGATGTATGTAGTGTAGTGTAGAAGGGGGTGTGCAGGCTGTGCAGCAGAAAGGTATCCTGGAGTGACGGGAGCCAACGGCGATTGAGACGAGTGATGGATACTGGACGGGACCGGGCCGAGGGACAATCTGTTAGCTGGAGTCTGAGCCTGAGCGGTAATGTGTGTAGAGTTTCCGTATGTAATGCGTATGTAATGCTGTACAGGCGGGCGGCGATTGCTAACAGATAATTGCTGGCAAGTTGGAAGAACGAGCGAGGATTTGGCAAAGCGACTCGACTCTGCGCCGACGTCGTGCGGAAAATGCCACAATGTGGCCCGAATGCAAATGAGGGCGAAAAGTGGGAGCCACCGAGGCGCTAGCTCCTTTGGGAAGCGCATTTTTCAAGTGGGGTGGATTTACCGGAAGCGACTGGGATCCAAAAGTGGGGGTTGAAGGAAATGCATGGCCATAGAGGTACCATTCGCTGGTCTTTGTACAGTCCAGTACTGGTTTGTTTGTTAGCTCGAGACCTTGCGTCAACCTTCCTATACGTTTTCATCAGTTAACTAATGCGTGATCTTACCTTAGAAAGGCTGTTTCTGATATTGAATATGCCACATCAATTCTTGTCAATGCCTTCATTGTAATTTGTACACAGCCATTGCGACGTTTGGGACTATTCGGGATCAATTTCGTCTAGTAGACAGAGTATAGTAGATATGCCTAGTGTACCGAGCTAACAGACCAACCAGCATCGGACTGTATGCACAGATGTGCAGACAAAGCCCGTTCCGCCGTATGTAATGTGTTTTCATCATCATAAGATGCAGTGCAGACAGCGATCGTAAAGCACATTCAACCTTGCGCAACCAATAAGGAGAAGTTCAACAGCAATTATCTGATTGTTTGTAACTTTTCTTCATTTTCCTATCTCTACCCTCATCCCCACGGTCTTCGACTTGTACGGCTTAACCCTGGTAGCGAGTGCCATACTTGGACTGCCCAGCAACAACATCGAGGAAGTGCTTTGCAATGACAGAATCTGGCATTTCCTGGTCAGCGATACTCACATGCTTCAACTCCCATATCACAGCAACAGGGTGATGGCAAGCTAGAAAGATAAACTCAAGAAAAAGGTCAAAACATACCGGTCTTGGTGGAAGGGTGCAGCTCGTCATACCACATGAAACCGGTCAACGGGCCAAGGCTCGTCTGGTCAACGCAGTTGCTACCGGAAGCTGGGCAGTGGTGGAAGTATCCGGTGCTATTGTGAGGAGCATCCAGATACGCAGCAGGATCCTCGTGGATGTCAGTCAAGAGGCTGTGGACGTCAAAGAGATCAAAGGTTGCCTTGGGCCAGCGCGACTTGAGCTTGGTGTTGACCGCAGCGCCATAGCTCAAGACGGTATTGAGGGTAGTGCTGTACTCCTTGATCTTCTCACTCCTCTCCGTGACGTTGTACTGGGACTTGCCGGCCCAAAACTGGCTTGGGCCAGAGAATCCGCCGTTTTCAATGGTGGCGTATAGAGGCGCCAGGTGTAGAGGCGCGACGTTTAGCAGCACAAACTTACGTCCGCCAGACTTGTAGATGGTGTCAAAAACGGTCCAGATGCACTCGGAAAAGTCAGTCAGGGTCTTGCCGGGGTGCTGGTTCTCGGTCAGGAAGGCATCGCCACCGAGATCGTTGGTTCCGATCCAAAGGGCGTAGACGGTGTTGTCGGCGGTCCTGTCGGGGAAGATGGACCTGTATGCAGTATCGGCGACGAAAGAAGGGATCTCGTCATCCAAGACAGCTGGGAAGTCCCGGTTAATGGCGCTGAAGTACCGCGAGATGATCTTGTTGGAGCAGGTCGCACCGCTTCTCAAAGTTAATTATAACAGAACTCTATGGTATTTCCTACCGGGCGGGGGGAGGGTATATGTACCTAACAGCATAATCAAGAAGCTTGGCCCCAACTTGACGACTGGCATACTGGTTCCACGTCAAACCACCGCTGGCGGTTACGTTGATCTCGCCGTGAAGCTGACCGGCCGGAGGAGGGTTGCCTCCATTGCCGATGTAGTAATTCAAACGGCCGTTGTCCGTATAGCTGTCGCCAAAGGTCACAAGAAAGTCAAAGGGCTTCTTGACGGGCTTAGCAGTAACAGAAGCAGAGGCAGAGGCAGCCAAAAAGGCGCCGGCCGTGAGCATGGAGAACAACATAGTGAAGAAAAGAGGCTGGAGAGGACCTGGGAGCTCTTGGCGAGTTTGATATGGAAGAGCTGAAGCTGGACTTTCACTTGTCACTCATCAACATGGTCGAACCCCAAGTAACGGCGAGACACCGAGGAGTTATATACATTCACGACCCAGCAGGCTTGTGATGGCGTGTATGTATCGTGTAACAACATGATGCGCACAATCAATTCACCCGAAGAACAGGTTAGTCCAGTAACGGGTAGCCTGCAGGAGGCTATTTGCCGTCTCCATCTACAGCCGCAAGATCAGGGATTTTAGGTGGTAGCAGACCAAGAGAAAACATGGGTGGGAGGCACAGACCGGACCATTTCCACTGGGCCTTTCGTTTCGAGGCGAGAATCCGGGTCGGTTCGATGCCCTTGAAGGTTCTTTTGCAAGAGAGCGCCCTTTCCTTTCCCTTGGTTGATTGTGCAGCATGATGTTTTCAAGTAGGCTCGCTAAGCTATTCAAAATGTAGGCAAGCACAGCAGCGAAGATGCCGCGAACATTGCATAGAGGTATGCTGATAGTAAAAGTTGTGCCCCCGGAGCTGTGCGACTGCCTCTATCAAATCTGCGTTCACCAAAGTTGCTGTTCACCAGAATACATACACTACAGATGACCAGTGGCGGGGAAGGTCCGAGAAGAGAAAGGTTCTCGAAGCCGAGGCAGGAACTTTCTCCCAGCCCCCATCCCCGCCAATGTTGCAATCGACGGAAGTTGGTTGCGGCTTGCCCGCTCGCTGCCGGCTCACGATTTCCGTTTCTGGTTTTCAATCCGAAAAATCATAGTTTGCCCCGGAATTGGCCAATGAGATGTCATGGGTATCAGCGTCTGATTGCGATTGGATGTCGTGAGGATGATAAAAAGTGGGTGAAAGAGGCATGCTCCTCGCGATGAGCATCTTGGAAGGCATGACGGATTTGATAATCTTCAACCCTAACCCTAAAAGACATTGAACCGTTTGATAGCGGACGAGGCACGTGCTGTCATCAGAGGAAACAAATGCAGTGATCTTCAATGACAAGCAAACGGCACTTGGCAAGCGCACGGCAGTTGGCAAGCACACGGCAGTTGCAGTTGCCACAACGCGACTCCCTCGTGAACATGACTGTTCTGGTCTCGTCTTCGCTGCCTTTTCCACAGGAACACGAATCCCGGCGACAGTCGGCACGTCCAGCTTAATGCCATCGAACGGTTTTAACTGACAGAGGTGGAACGCATTAAAGCCCCCCTTGCCACTCAACCACGAAAACCATGGCTTCCAGCCACCATAGCGCCAATGCTACTACTGATCCACTGAAAGGGCTTAAGCGCAAACGCCTGTCCACCGAACCCGAAGCGTCGACGGAGCCGGGGCACGATGCCGCTTTCGCCGGAAATCCTAGCTGCGACTC